CACTTGTAAGAGGACGAAAATGTAAGGAATCAAAAGCTGCATGTCAAAATCCAATGCCAAGGGTGGAGAAACTGGACAAAACTCTGCTTTTCAATTGAATTTTCCAAGCCTTAATTAAAAAAGGTTGAACCCCAACCTTGAGGGTCCCCCATCGCCCCGCTCCTAGAACATTGTGGAGGAAGTAAATCGCGGGATGTGCCTCAACAGGTCAGAGTACAAGAGCTGCTATATTGGTGCCCACAAAGAGTCAAATTTCTTACCATGTAAGAGTCAAGAATCAAACTCTCACACTGCGACTGTCAGCTCAACTAAAACAACCTCACTCATGTCCTTTATACCACTGATTAATTAGTGATAATTGCATTTTTTAATCAAAGCGAAACAAACACTAGAAACGACATGGCACTTTGGTATGGAGCCTACACGTATCATTCCATCTCCAATAGCAAAAATCCATTTGGTAAACCACACAATCAATATATTAAACTGATATTTTCTCTTCAGGTCTGAAAACCAACGTTCCAAAACCTTTGATTCACAAAATTGATTAAAGTAAGGTACCTTTATTTTGTCTCTTCCTCTGTGTCCTTATGATTGTATCATTTGTTGAAGCCGTTGCTCATAATTTATACACAAATATGATTTTTCATGAATGGCATAGGCAACGAGACCACCTTATGCCCTAGTGGAATATGTCAGGCCATTTTAGAGATGTGACTAAGCCCCCGTTTGAACCCCATTAAATTAAATTTCATTACATTAATTTTTTCTCTCTTCATTTCAACCACACATTCATCAAATAAAATAATATTATACATAAATCTAAAATTTTTCAATCATACATTCTCCCATCAATCACTATTCTAAAAATTTTCAATCCAAAAAAATGGGGGCCAAACGGGGGCTAAATTGTACTGGCATGTTTTGTAAGTGGATTGGATGTTATCAAACAGTAATAAGGAAGAAATGAATGTTAATAGATTGGACGGTATAAGATAGTACAATCATGCTACACAAACAGGCTTAATGACTGGTTAAAAAAAGAGACACGTGTCGACACTCGATTTGACAATTTAAAAAAAAAAGCACTCAATCTAATTTTGCCACCCCACCCTGTCACCAAATTTCCTGTCTTTCACCCTGGCCAAGCAACATTATTCCAGATAGTAATAATAAGGAAGAAATGAATGTTAAATTCTTAATTATTAATTGTATTGTCGACTAAAGTATACAAATTACCAAATACACTCTATGAGTACTATTTATTGTTGTAGATAGCATGTGCATTGTTAAGGGATAGTATTCCACATCGAATAAAGATGTAAACATAAACTAATTTATAAATGATTGGGTTACTCCTCTTAACAAGGTTGACCTTTTAAGATGGAACCTCAATTATTAACATGGTATCAGAGCCCATTAAACTCTAACGAACAATTCGATCCGGTTAAGATTTCAAAAGTAAGCATACGAATTTCAAGATTGATTTACTCAAACGAGCCACCATCTTGCGGGGGCAAGTTAAGGGATAGAATTTCACACCGAATAAAGATGTAAATATAAATCAAGTTATAAAGGATTGTGTTACTCCTTTTAACAAGGTTGGCCTTTTAAGATGGAACCCCAATTCTTAAAATGCATAACCTATTCTTTATATGTACTTAGTTGAACACTGTTCATGAATTATGATCCTATATCCTTTAATACGAGACAAATTTTTAGCTTATACAATTTGTTGATGGAAAAAATTGATAATGCACGTTTTGATCAACTTCTATAAATTTGAACTGAATGCAAGTGTTATAATTCTGCGATTTTGCAATTGTACCAAGAAAAACTTAGTTTGGATCTCCCTCTTATTCACCCTTCATCCCCTTTGTATAGGCAATGGACTTAGCCTGTTGCCTTAGTCATGTCAAGCTCCAGTGTTCCGAGTCTTTCGACCTAAGGTTGCGTATCACTATTCGTTTGAGGAAATTTGATTGATTGGTGAATTCGGCTACGGCGGGTCATGATGACACCTTGGCTTTGGACTTGGTCCTAAGTTATGGTGTCA